CTTTAATAAGAGATAAATGAAAAAGACTTTTGGAAAGCTGATCCTCATTGTTTAATGTGCAGCTATTTTGACTAGATATTTATGTTGACAATTTGATCACTTGCCTAAGAGTCCCGCCATATTACAAAATTTCAAATTAGGCTTGCAGGAAAATTCATGAGTCGAATTAAAACACACTAAGAGACATGGAATTAGGTGGTCTTTTTGTCGTATCAGTGAAGTTTAGGCCATACACACCAAGGGACACTTAACTTGAAAAGACGGAAACGGTGGTCTTTCGTGATACGTACTCGAGCGGTAAGGGATTTACATATAACATACATAAACACATAAACACACACTTTATTGAGACTCCCTTCATCAGGGCTTTCAGTCACAATGTTAACTATATAATACTGGTAATTAAGAAAACTTATTTACAGTAATTTAACTAAATTCAAAATATATTCAAAATTATTTCTCTATGAAACATATATATTATTAAAAAATTATCTGCTTAAAACTATTAATTTCTTTTAGTGTTCTTAATATTGTCAGCTAGCCCATTCCTTTCCCTTGGATCTCGAAAGTAAAATGCCCTTCGTCCCATTGAAAACATATCAGGGGACCACAAAATTGTTTCATTCCCTTGTGTTCTTGTTGTGAACTGCTGAACGTTTAACAAAATATTTACCTAAATAATCTGGAGCTAGGCCATTTACACATTTAAATGCTAAAACTAAGTCATTAAATGAAACCTTCTCTGTAACATCTAACCAGCTAAGAGATCTCCTTCTCTGGGAGATGTAGTCAAACTTCCTAACCCCTAATACAACTCTGGTAGCAAAATTTTGTACTAGCTGCAGTTTGTGTATATTACGTTTAGATGTGTTCCCCTACACTAAGGAACAATAGAATAGTTTACTAAAAACAAAGCTATTTGTGAGTAATAAAAGTGTTTTCTTGTCTAAAAGGTGTTCAATTCTACTTTTCGGAACTAACTGGTTCATGCAACCAGAGGCTGGTTTAGTGATATGTACATTATAGGTAAGATATTGATCAATATATACCCTGAGATCCTTAGCAAACGAAACTGGTGTGATAGTTTTGTCCTAACAGGGATAAGGAGATATGAAGTAGCCTCCTAATAAGTTGTCTAATTTTGTCTTCTCAAGGTCTATAAGTAGAGAACTCTCTGCACACCATTTACTCATGTTCCTAAGATCTTGGTTTACAGCTGCCATAGCACTTGGTGAGTCTCTTACAGAATATTTAAAGTATAATTTACTATCATCAACATACGTAGTGGGTTGACTGTGGGTAATGACACAGGACCCAAGATTGATCCCTGAGGTACTCCATTTGTTAAGGGTCACAATTCTGAAACTTAATATTTGTATTGTACTCTTTGATATCTACTGGATATATAGGTAGCTACTAAACCGGGAAGTTAGAGAAGCTTTGAGGCCCAGTTTTCGTAATTTTTTGGACAACAGATTACAATTAAGGTTGTCGAAAGCTTTTGACATATCAAGCAGCACTGGTAACAAGGCTGATTTTTCATCAATTGCTTTCAAAATGTTGTCTGTAACATTTATGAGGGCAGTTTCTGTCAAATGCATTTTCTTGTTGTCACTTTGATAAGTCTTTTACCATGTTTTGTCAAAAAATTCCACAAATTGTTTGTGTGCCAGACTTTCACTTGCTTTTGATAGGATGGATAACAATGAAATCGGCCTGTAGTTGGCTATTTCTTCTGAGTTTCCTTCTTTGGGTACGGGTGTCACCTAAGCAATTTTCCATGCTTTAGGAAAAGCAGCCATCTTAAAATGAATTGTTCACCAGTCTGGAAATCACTGCTGCGATGCTCTCACAACTGTCTTTCAGGACTTGTGCAGAGCTTTTATCATATTCTGGTGCTTTTTTCAGCAGCTAAATTTACTCTTAATGACAGACTTGATGTCAATTTCTTTTACATCTTGAAACTCAAATCCTTCTGTTTCAGCGTGCAGGCCAGTGTCAATAATTCTCTCCCCAAGACCACATTCTTTATCCAAACCGTGTTCCCTTGTTATCAAGTTCGCCTTATGGGTAGTAAGTCCTCCTTCTGATAAAAAGTACTGTTGAATTTATTTGCCTAAGTCTCATGGTCCTTCAAAGTGCTTGGACATTTAGCTATACCACGAGACATACAATTGATTTAAGATCTTCCAAGTGGCATTTGTATTTCCTCCGCTAGCTGTTATCTGGTATTTTGGATTTGCATTGAGGAAGTCATGATGTACAGCTGTTAGAATGAAATATTCTGATTTTGGCTTAGGAATGTTTCGTTATTTTGTAAGCCATCTTATGAAAGTCTTAAACTAAATTCTACTAGGTTTTCATTTCATCCTTAGGTTTGTATGCCTTTCCCGAACATCTGATCAGACAGCCAGCATGATTTACTTGAAATAGCTGTAAGTTGAGCTCGGAAACATATAATTTCATGGACACAATCTTTGAATAAACTTCTCCCCATCTATAATAAGCCTCATTCCTCCCCCTGAAACTATTTTTCCAGTTAAAAACACAGGGCAGCCTGATAATGCTATGCAAATGGTTTATTTTATAGTATTGTTAACTTTATATTTAGGTTAAGCAGCATTGCAGTTCGAAATATGCTTGTTTTAAAGACTTAAATACTTGTTACCATTCAAAAAATATTTACTGTGGGGTTGTGAGATGAAGAAATGCATACTGTAGATAGCTTTCCTTAAAGCTGTGGAAAATTTCATTAATATGGGAAAGTTATAACATGTGTAGGGGTTCCCAGTGAGCTCTTAATATTAATGATAAGCTCCCTGCTCTCTTGGCCTATATATCTCCAACAAGGCCCCCCTTTCCCTTATCAGGAGGAGTTAAATGTAATAAACTCCTCCTCTAATATGATCATTAGAGCATTTGCATCAAATCTAAAGCAGTGTCTGAAATGCTGTTTGTCATGTTACTGCTATGACATGGGAGAATTAGAGTGAGAGGGGTACAACAGATACTAGTGTAAAAGGGCCCTCATGGTGATAGGAAATGGGGGAAAGCTAAATGTGATTAAAGTGAAAAAAACACAACTCGTGTTATATTATTGTGTTTTAATTATTATTGCTTTTCAAAATTACCAATATTCTGCGGCTTCTTCTTCTCTATAGTTTGTAATCAAAATGAAACCCCTACACTCTATAGCCTTCAATCTTTTTACGTACTGTCAGTGACTTGTAGATTTTTGAATACAGGTGTAAACCATGATAACTCTAACTTCACTTCACAAGTCTCCAACTATGCTTTTGAAAAAGTTCATACTTAGATTTAAATAACAATAATATAAGGTCAGTCTGAAGTTTTGATGGTATCTAGCTTTACCTGCAGAGAAAATTCATAGGGAGATATTTGGCTTTCTTTTGAGATATAGCTTTCATACAAAATAACTAGTTGAATAAATCTTGTTCAAGACAAATGTTGAATGTATTGCCAGGAATATTTAATTAATAGAGAAAATGCCACCTTATTTCCTGAACATTTGTTTAATTAAAGTCCATTTAAAAATCATAAATTTAGATCATAAAAAAATGCATTGCAAGTGTGTGATTTAGTTAAAAATAAATGCAGTTTTCACTTGACTGTCAAAAACTAGACTTAATGAAAGTAACAGGGCCATATATTATAACAAATTGTAATCATTGTAAGCCAATGAGAACTCAGTGAGAAATAACCAAAGCTAAGGAAAGTGCTGGTTACCATTTTTTTGTTTAGCATCTGATTGTTTAATGGGATAGAGAAAGTTTGTAAGACTAATCACAGGGTGAAATAAAGCAATAACAAAGCAATCCTGTGTAGCCTTAACACTTCATTGCAAGTAGCTAAACTATTTATAATTAAAGGAGAATAGGATTGGAATGTCTGTGGTATCTTTCACATAAACTTAAGCTTTAAACCAAGAAAATTTGAGTCTGCAAGATGGGTATTGAACTGATGGCCTTCTGGAACCCAATAAGGCATTACTCTTTTGATCCACATCCTGAGGTCAAGAGAAAACTTCATCTTAATCATAAAATCTAATGGTAATTCCTACCATGATATGTGAATTCGTAAGAGTAACACAGTATGGTAGTTATATTGAACATTTGAAATCCAGCTTAAAAGGAAGACTTGAAAATCATATTGTTACTCAAAACAAATATCAGGTCATCAAGGTTTTAAACTTGTTTGGTTTGAATTTCCACCTGTTCTAGATACATTACTTTACCCCTGAATTTATTTCAACCTAGAATCAGTTTTAAGTCCAACATTTTTTCAAGCTTTCCTGGTGTTAGCATTCATTTCCATCCTTTTGAAGTATGAACATGAGAACAACTGACCTTTTACTCACAGAATAGGATTTTATTAAGAAGAGGGAGTTTATGCATTAAAAGAATGTTACTTATTTTTGCAAAATTAAATCACATTTAGCAAACAACTCATGAATAAAAGTTAACTTAATCACAGTGAGGATTTGAGGTGCTCTTATGGTTTAACAAAAATTTCTCCTAATGAATTTACAAGAATAGGTATGGAAGCTTCTGGGGAGAACTTTATATTAGGACTTGGGAATAAGAGATTTACAACAACAGCTTTGTAGACTTCTAAAACCTTGTTACATGGCTATGGTAGACGGTCATAGCCTCCTTTGCTTTAGTTGGCAGTATCAACATTTTATTCCATTAAATTCACTTTGCAATTATTTGTTTACGGTTCATTAAAAGTTTTATGTAATTTAAGTACTTAAATTCAGTTTAAGTATGAAGAAGATATGGAAAAATCAAGGTACATTTGTGATGACTTCATAGAAATGATATCATATGCAAAGAAAGGATTTTTCCCGGACTCAGTAAGTAAATTAACTTCACATATTTGTAGTTCAAATTTTATGATAGTTACAAGTGTTTTTTTCTACCTGGTGTGTAACATCTGTGTTTTAAACAGTTTCTTGCTCTACAATACCTGATGCTTGTAATTACTGAAATGCAAGCTCATTTGCATTTTTTTTGCGTAATTGGAAACGAACGAAACAGAGCACTAGCGTTAAACGGTAGTTACGGCTCCATCAGTTTTTTTTTTACCTCCTCTTACCCCATTTTTCGCGCGTCCGCTTTTTCCTCCCTTCCGTGTTTCTTAGGGCGTGCATTAGGCTGGGTTTCGTCAGCTTGGGGCACACTTCTTCCTGTCAGGGGGAGAGGGGCTATCCCCTAGATTGGGCTCGTCCATTGCGCACCTTGAAAAAACACTACGTTACGCACATCATTTTGATGATAGTCCAAATGTGGTTTGAATTCACTCATCACTTCTTTTTGTTCCACTCTGTGGCAGACTATGTAGTTAGTAAAAGGTAACGATTGAGTCGCGAGAGTGTGTTTCAATAATCCGCACGTTTTAAAGAGAAGACGCCATTTGTTGAGACTCGGCAAATGAGTTAGAAGAAAGGCCTGTTTTTCTGGTGGAAAACGAAGATGTAAATGTGGATCGACGATACCATCCAGTACGTTTTCTCGAAGAGCAAATTGATTTTCTGGCTCGCCGAAAATCCTGCTTGAGAAAGGTGTACAACAGTGGGTTTAGGAGACCAGTGCTAAACCTCAAAATCAATAAAATTACATCAGCCCATAATGGGATCCCTACCCTATTGCCTAAATCCTCTTGCAACGAATTGAAAAAATAGTTGAACCATCCCACGATGAAAACGCAAATCATTGCGCTGTAGATAAGCAGGGCTTTCCGTTCTTTTTTGGAGTTGTGTTGCGTGCACTGCGAAGAAATATGAGATACGTCGCGCTTTATTTGTTCGCAGTGTTTCCTTAGAGTGTAGAAAATATGGAAGTACGCCACTCCCATTATCACTAGAGGAACAACGGCTAGTACCGCCAGGCAAACAAAATCGTAGGTGATTTGGCTTTGGCTTGGTGCTTTCATTGGATCGCGCATGAATGAGATTTGGGAGAGTGAGACGCAGAGTGAGGTTAACCAGACTACCAACAGAATTGCCACGCAGGTTTTCTTGGAGATGACTGACGTAGTTCTCATGACCGAGAACACAATTGTAAAATATCTCTCCAATGTTATCAAGAGTAGGTGGAGCACGGTTGATATCGAGAGGAATCTTTGCCCCAAGTCCATAGCCACACAGATATAATAGTTATTATGGGTGGTACAGGCGATAATGAGTGGTACTGCATACAAACCCGATAACATATCGGATATCGCCAGGCTTGCCAGGCAGAAGTTGGTCACTGTCTTCAGATACTGTCTGGTACACACAAGATAAATGACGAAGCCGTTGATAACAATTATAGATAGCCCAATCGTGCACAGGATAACGAAGATAGCTATGATTACATCAAAGTCTTCTTGGGAATGAGAGTCCATTTCGTCATTTGAGGTGTAATTTACATTACTGTCGTTTGACATTGTTGCGTCAGAGAGCGCCATCGAAGCTGGTCTGCTTGTTTATTAGTTCTTGGGTTTCGTTCTTTTGAGGTTTTGCTCCCTGTTTCTGATGGGGTGGAAAAAGATTCCGAGTTAATTTTCACTTCTTCTGCTCTTTAACTGAGATAATAGCATTCACATCTTTAAGAAATGTGAAAAACAGTAATATTCTAATATTTATTTATTGTTGCACGCTAATTGGTCGCTCCTGGACAGCATATCAATCATAAGCCAATGTTAAGAGAGATCTTTCCTTTAATATTTTATCAGGTTGAACAAAAATAGGACGAGAGGTGACATTTTGTTTGCCTTTTTCATTGTACTCGCTCCTGGTACCTTAATTGTGGTTGGGTACTTTTTTTTCTTACATTTCCACAATTGTTGTCGAAAATCGTAAGAGGCAAGCGAACAAAACTGATACAAGTTATGACATTTCGATGCGATGAAATTGTGAACTAGGAAGGAAAGTAAAGTGACGGTTTTTAGCTGCGTCCTCTGATGAATGAGTGTTCCTTTCGAATAAATTAATTTCGCTCTATATGTAGAGCATTTACAATGATTTTAACCTGGGAAAATTTTTAAAGGTGACTACGAGAAGACGGATGAAAATTATTTTCATGGCTTATAATTTCATCTTCTCATTTTCGAAGCAATTTTCCGTTGCTTTTCTGGTTGCTTTTTGACTATAGACAGTCCCTCCTTTTCGGCGAAGTCCGTTGCATGAGTTGAAAAAGTGAAAGAAAAATTGATGTTAGCGAGCCGTGGAGGGTTCTTAGATGACGTCGATGCGTCGTGGGAGCTCTATAAGCCAGGCGCCTCACTCATGGAGCTCCCGTGGCGCATCGAGGTAACTTCAAGAGGCCCTCTTCTATCAATTTTTTTCACCGGTTTATTTTTTTACTCGCGCCACGGACTTCGCCGAAAAGGATGGATTGCTCGCAGTCTACGTTGTTTTGTAAGCAAAGCAACAAGCAGTTAGGATGATAACCATTTCTAAACTGAAACGGTTTAATTTTGGCTGATTTTTTTACTTGTACGTAGCCGCCTCTTCCGTTGGCTTCCACACGGTTTATTTTGAAGCGTTCAAAAGGGTCAAACGAACGAACTAATCTCTACGAGGCCGATAAACGGGAGTTGTGATTAGTCTTCCGTTTTGCGGATCACGGTAACTTTCGAAATAGGTGGCCATCTCTACGGAGAATTAATCAATAAATATAAAGGCTTTCGAAAGGTGCTTTTACCTCAAAATGTTATAATGATTTCTAAGCAATGATACGAAAGAAGTCGATCTCCGCGAAGTGATCACGTGCTGAAGTCATCACATGCTCACCATTTTTGGAGCAATGGGTGTTTCGCAGTGCGCCAGAACTTGTCCGCTCAGACTAGCACCTGATCCCAGCCGTCTACTTAGGGTATAAGTTGTTACAATTGGTTCATTTTCAAACGATTCGTTAAACCGCCAACAAACACATTTTAACAAAAGCCCATTCAAATGACCTTCTTAATAACTCTCATCGTACTGATTTTTTTTACCTCAGAGGTAACAAATCAATAAGATGAGTCATGATTCTAAGTGTTTATGTTTGTTGATGATCCTAGCAGCATGCAGGACGCGTGTCATATGAACTTCGTAATAAACCTCGCTCACCGTGGAGTCTCTGTGGCTCAGTGGTAGAGTATCGGAGCTCTGAGGTTCGATTCCTCATGGGGACTCAAAATTTTTTCGCTGTCCCATGCTCGTGACGAAAAAAAGATCTTTCTCTGTTTATGTTTGTGTTAGGTTTAACTGTTTGAGTCGTATGATTTGTTTATGGATATAAAAACGTATAGGTTACTTATAAAGGAAATACTAATCGCTTAATATAAATCATGTTTCGGTTAGAAAGCTCTCCAAGGACTGCCCATGTTTATCAATCAGAGCCAAGATTTTTTTATGACCCAGTGTTTATATTGGATGCAGTGACGGCTCACAATGATATCTTTTGTAAGGCAAGTTTGACCAAAGAATGTACGAATGAACTTCTGTCTGTTTAAGCCTGTAAAGTGAATTCGCTGTTATTGAATTTTCTGTTTGTTTTACAAGCAAGTCTTGAGAAATTGCCACAGCTCGGTATTACTTAACCATAAGATAATTTGGTTTTATCAACCGAGTTGGTAATGTGAATTGGCCATTGTGAAGAGTTTCTAGAGCTGATGTTTCGAGCGCCGGGGTTAGAAGAAAACACGATAAACACCGTGGCGCAAAATCTTTAGTTTCTCTGTCTAGTACTTCAGCCTCAGTGATTTTATCAAGTGTGTCTCTGATTGGTTGGAAGGGGCAGCCAACTGTTTAGTTCGTTAGTGAAATGGATTTTCTTTATTTGCTTAGTGTGGAGGTGGCAACCATGTGCGAATGACATCAAGAGGTGGAAAGTGGTGCACTAAACATATTGTTCCCAATTGAAATGCGATTTCGTGATTTCTTTTACTGTCTCTTCCAGAGGACAAAAAGTGCGCATTTTCAAAAATTTTTTTTCTCTGAAAAATCATTTTTACCTTCTCTTGTATTCAGAAACTGCGGCAGTTGCGCAATCAAAACTGAAAGTAATAAATAAAACAATGCTGTTTTTTTCATCGGAACTTTGCTCACTGAAGTACAATGCAAATATATGACGCCGAGATTATTTTCTTCTTCTATATTTGAGTGCAAGCAAATATTAACAGTTGGAACTATATAACTTAATAGCTTTTACACAAATGGGACTAAGGCTTTCCCTTAATTGTGAATGCTGAAATCATTTAGGTATTTACTGGAAAGACATCAGAACATTGCTCATTTGCCTCATATATTCACCTCCCAGTGACTACTAGTTAGCATTTTTTGGCTTTATAAACAAGTAATACACTTGAGAGTTACTTTTAACTAAAGCTTCTGGGTTTGATGAGGATTGGGCCTTTTTTTAGCCTCATGAACAGGGGACTCCCTTGTAAATTGATGTAAATTTGAGGTTATTTCTTTTTACTAGAACTTTCGAGCAATTTGCCTGTTTTGTCAAAAGTACTCTTCAGCGAAATTTGGAAATGCAGACATGCGATGCATACATGGTAATTAACTTTAAAAAAATTGAAATACTTTTGTGTGGTAATTTCAAATAGGAAAAGTATTGAGGTATAACGATTGCATGGTCAATTGTCATTTTATGGAAATAGTACAGAAAATAGTACAATCCACTCAATTGTAACAAGAGCCATGACTGATCTAACTGAGGAAAAAATAACTTTGTAGAAATATGTATGATTATAAGCTGTAAACGCTCTTAAATTTGTAACGTGTTTACTGACCTTAAAACGAGGGATGCCTTTTTAATGCGTTGAGTCTGTCGCTGGCTTAGCGTAGTCCACATTCAATGAGGTCTAGTCAGTGACAATGCGTTGCTGGGATTCAGAACGTATCACTGGTAATGATAAAGGTGTAAATTGTTCTTTTTCGTTGTTTTTCGTTTGTAATGCATTCATCCTTTGTTATTTTAATTCAAAGCGAAAAGGTCTTGAGCTTATCGACTCTTATTGATTTCTTTTTGATATGTTAATGAAATGAATGTTGAAAAACTCAGAATGCTTATGTGAATCTCTCCTACTTCATACAATTTTTTTCTATTTTAGTGATTGAAAAACCATCGGGAAAATCAAGAATGAAAATCGATGGGAATTGTTTTGCGTTTACAGCTTTAGTGCTCGAGTTTTTTCGCTACGTTACACAACCCTGATTGTTTTATTCAAAGAATCATCTGTTTGTCCTTACCAAGCCGGTGTGCTTTTGCAGCGTTATCTTAAGAGTGTGAAAAATAGAGCTTTCTTTATACCCGTGAAATGTCCGCAGCCGGCAATCGTAAACGACTCTACTTAGTTTGAATTGTTAAGTAATGATACCTTGAACGTAGATGCTTTACTCCGGAGTAGTGGCATGGTCTAAAAAATTATCACTAGTAATGATGTAGAGTGGATTCCGATCCAATGGGATCCATAATAATAGGGAAAGTTAACAAAATCAGACGACCGCGAAGCAGGAGTCCGTTTTGTTCAACACTGATATGAATGAACGTGAAATAATGGAAAGATAACGAAATTAGTTCTTCTCTTGAAAAAAACTTTTGTAGATATCTAACCTTTTGGAATATATCCTGATAGGTCGTGGTGCGCAGAAATCAGTTTATATGTTGTGTTTTCGTCTTGTTGTGATGATGTGGAAGAACAATGCAAGATTTTGAGTTCAAGAGCCACTAATAAAATCATTGTTGGCCGAAAACAAATTAAATGCTGAATTGTACTTACATCACTAACTGGGGGAAAGTAATTAAAAAATGTATTATTCTTAGACTTTTTATCACCTTTGTGTTGAAATTCTATTTTAATGATTTTGACATTGCTTGAATTGTTTTCCAAAGTAGGTCAGCGCATTTATGCAATGGAACGAACCCCTCCTAAGATCAGTTAGAACTGAGTCTTAAATATATAGTGACAAACTTTCATTATCGGATACCCGGCCTTCACAACGAAAACGGTCGCTAAAGCGCTTGGACCTCATCGTTTCCTACAACAGCCTGTATGGTGAATCATCTACCGAAGAGTAGTCTGGCAACCTTGCTCAGGCAGTCAATCCTTAACAATTTATGTTGCTAAAGGAGAGTCAAACTGTGTTTTATGTTTATTTCTAAAGGGCTCGTACCGTTAATATTGTGAACTTTTCGTTCTCTTGATTAATAATACACATGATCTAATAACATAGTGGAAGAAGTCACGGTAAATATTGTAGAACACGTCCCGCCGCTTTGCTTGCGCTCTCTCTCGCTCTCTCCGTCTTCAGACAGTAGTTATGGTAGCTCTGAGTCGATTTGTTATTTGGCAGCTACGTTGCTCCTTCTAATATATGTCGCTCTGTCAAACAATCGCACTTTAATGTAAAATAAGTTGTCACAGTGTTACATCACACCTCTAACTCTATAATAAACTTGGTATAGATGGTAAAAGGTCAAGGAGACCTAATGATAGCCATCATTTGTGAAAATGATAACTGTGATAGCAATAGTAATAATAATGATAATAACAATGATGATAATAATGATGAAGAAGTGGTAGAGACACGATCCATACAGAGTAGAGGAGAAAGATAACATTAAATTCATTTGTATGCAGTAGAGCCAAATTTGATGTGGCAGTGACAGGGAATGTAGTTAGCATGAACACATGCGCGCCGAAATAGCGCAACTGAGTCTTGTTTTTGACAGTTTGACAGTTATATCTTACTCTTGTCAGCTCTCGAACTTTCAATTTTCATTTAGAAACATTTGTAATTTTGGCATCGAAGGAGTTCAGACATCTGTTACACCTGTTAATTTTATATACTATATCTCATGTTTGTCTTTTTGAGTACAGGCAGAACTAAAGTTGCCACGTCCCCATTTTTCGCAATAGTTCTTGGGTTTTTCATACCACGCGGTTACAAAATGTTTAGCCTTAGTGGTGTGAATTGTGTTTTTACTGCTAATCGATTTGAGTTTGTACTGTAATCTCGTGGACTGCATTAAAACTCTCAGGATCACAGTTTTAGATGCACACAGACATGTGTATAGCTTATAAGTTTTACATTGGTGAAACAGGAAGACGACAAGGTGACCGATTCCGAGAACACCTTCGCGACGTAGAAACAATTGACAAGGACGCATCCAAACCAGTCGCTAGACACTTTAATCTCCCTAATAATTATAACAGCATACGGCAGTTTGCAGCCCTTCCCAACATCTTGGCAGTTCGGAAAGCCGCAAACCTCTACTGAGAACAAAAATTTATCTTCCAAATCGGCACTCCAAATCAAAGAGCGCTCAATTAGTCAACTAATTTATTCTTGTTTTCTCGTCACCATACTTCCACCAATACCGTAGCCCCAGTTTCTGCATATACACCCACACACAACCCAAAATTCCTCCGATCGCTCTGACGAAGGGCTAACGCTCGAAACGTCAGTCTTTAAACTCTTTACGGTGGCCAATTTACGCTTTCAACTCAGTTGATAACACTAAATTACCCTGTTATTATCAAATGTTCTTTCATCGACAGGTGTCATTACAAAGTGCGCCAGGAAATACAGCTTGAGCTCAAATGAACCGAGCCCACTTTGGTAACTAATGCCCCATTCACACCAAAGCTTAAACATGTTTAAAAGTTGTTTTGTTAAACACAGTTTAATTTTTTTTTCTTCATAGAAACTATTTAACCGAATATTTTTGACTTGAATGTAGCACATTGGATATACAAGTTAGCTAGTACTTGAATCCAATGGAAAATCAAGTTTTTCAGTTCTCTGTTTATAATTTTCATTCAATGAAAACCAGTTTAACAAAACATGTTTTGCTGGTGTGAATGGGGTATAAGTCGTTGATACCGAACACGATGATTGCAAGGGAAAGGACGAGTCATGAATATTGAGCGATGGTCGTTTCCATCTGTTCATGGCTGAAAAAAACCGCAAGATTGTTTTAACAGTTCTAATTTGAATTTGTGGATGATTAGCTTTCTTTTATGTCAATTTTCCAGACATCTGTTCATTAGATTGTTTGAATTCAGAGGTAAAGTTGACTGGAAATGAATGGATAGACAGCAAATAACTTCAAACTTTGGTCCACACTGGTCTCTTATGAGAACTTATCGTCTTTTTTTTCTAAACGAGTGACGTGACGAAATAAAACATCTGTCAGACGCGGAAAACGATTCTGACTTTTTATTCATTTGGGCCCACTTAGCCGGCCACAACAGGCTCTTGCTGCCTACAATAATATTCCATTCAACTCGTTCACATCTAGCAATGTTAACAGCTGTTTCTCTCATGCACGTATCAGTAATTGTTAAAATATGGTGGCGACGTTTTGGAAAGCCAAAAACTGATATGTTGCTAATTCTGTCACGATAAGTTTCTTTTAATATCATAATTTGTTTACATATTTTAAACAGTAATTGTTAAAATATGGTGGCGACATTTTGGAAAGCCAAAAACTGCTATGTTGCTAATTCTGTCACGATAAGTTTCTTTTATGTCATATTTTTTTAAACATATTTTCAGTTAAAGTTAATCACACTTGCAGTATTTTTTTTAGTGATAGGAATCGGTTAACTTGTGACAAGTTAACGGATGAGAGAGAGTAGTACACCTTTTCTCCCAGCTGCATGTATCAGGATATCTTTAACTCTCTAGTCCCGTCTATTTTCAGAAGGATTTTAATTTTTTTATTCATTAAATTCTTTTCAAAATCACATTGGACTGAACTTTTCTTTCTTGGAACGCTAGGTTCTTTTAGTCTTTTTGTGTTCCACGAAGTCTAAGTAATTGCGACAGAATACAAAACAACAACGGGTGTACGCGCACCCATGTTCACCTTTCCCAGACATCATTTAGTTTATTTCTAGATGCAGATAAATGAATAAGTGAATTTGATGCTAGATAAACGTATGGATATGTAAAATCTTTCCGCAGTCTCGGTTAGCTTGTAAATTGTGGTTTATTTCAGCTGTTGGCAACCTGTTATTACTTTGTGCTTGAGCAATGACAATTTGATTTTCCGAAACACTTTTGTGTTTTAATTACTTTACAGACTCTCTCTTTACCTATTTTACCGATGGGTCATTTGTTTGTCCGCTTTCGCGATAAGAACGAGTGTTGCAGTCAATACCGTTCGAAAACTAACAAACTGTGTAACATCCACTATATTTTTTCATATCAATAAAATATGTATATATTCGCACGTGGCGACTCACCTTTCACTAAAACAGCTCTTTTGCCACAATATTTTTCAGAGGAAATTTAATGTTTTTTCAACTGCTTTTGTGAGTATCTTTATGGTCCCTGTAGGAAAATCACAAGTTAATAAATAATCGATGGTTAACAAGTAAAATTTAGCATTTATTTTGACAATTATTGTGTTTAATCATGAAATATTTATCCTACATATGTTTAGTTTTAGGAAAAATCTTTTAGAGAAGCCGTGTTGCTTGAGTGCAAATTAAATATGAGCCCCTCAGTAAACAGGGACTTTTTTCCAATTTCAATAACTTTCGTATGTGATTGAGAGGAGAAAGCGTAAATTTTAGACAATGGTCAGCGATACAATGTATCATTATTCCGTACATGTCCGATTACTCTTTTTATCGTAGCAACATCGCAATCCCGATCACAGCGACATTAGAAAGGCTTTTATTGCAAAATATAAGAAAAGACGATTAACTTTTACTCACCCCTCTGTTTAATTGTTTGCGACGAAAACGCTGAAGGCAAACAAAAAAGTGGCGACTCTCCTTTATGCCACAACGATCACTACTCAAAGTTCCTAAACAAGATTGACAGAACAAGTTAAACGTGCGAAAGCTTGGGTGTTGAGCTTTTAGTACTGACGCGCTCTATAAGGTAACCCCTTTAGGCTTAGTGTTGCAGAAGAACGAAGATTTTCAGCGCGAGTTAACAATAACTTGATTCACATTTGCAAGAGCCAGTAGAGCAACAATCGGCCATTGAGCCTAGCAAAGGGCTCTTACTATCCACCATGAAAACACTCAATTGCAAAAACGTTGACACCTGAAAAGCATAATCCATAAAGGATGAGACCCAACAGCTTTATGAAAATATTTTTCAAGTGTTACGTAATCAGTAGGTGCTTTACTTTTTCCCTTATTCCTGAAAAATATCAGTTTACTGCAATTTTTTTTCAGGGAAGTGTGCATGGCCTCTATTATTTACCACGCGCAACTAATGATGGTTATCATGTGCTTGGGTACCCATGAAACCGTGAGGTCTCATCGTTCATTGCTAACGCTTTTTAGGTGTTAATGTTTTTGAAATCGAGTATACCCCATAGCAAGGCATCAAAGCCATAATAAAGCACATCCATTTGTGGTTTGGCGTATCTTGGTATTTTAAGGTATAAAAAGAGATAGCTTTTAGCAAAAAAAGTATATCGCTCACGAAAAAATGAAAACGCTGGGAAGTGCTTCGGCTTTTCTCATCTGCTGTTTTCGCTTATCCTGAATACATTCATTTCGTGCGTATTAATTATTTATATTGTTACCATAAAGACTTACCGAAAACAGACCCACAGAGTGAAATTCATGAATTTATCTACACCTTTCTCTCATGTATCTGAGTGCAATTGGAAAAATATCAACGGGCTACTGCCACTCTTAGATAAAGCACTAAGTGTATGGGCGCTCCTGCAAAGGTGTTTAGACAAGTTTGAACAGCCTTCTGTGAATTCTTTTTTTTTCATATTTACCGATTCACTCACAACTTAGGAGTTGATAATAAGTTGTAAGCGACAGGCAAGACAGCTGACAAAGACACACTACAATCTGTGTTTACATTTTACGGAGGAAAGGATAAGGCCTTACATAGAATTGAAATTATTTCGATGAGGTAGAATCGCGTCGAAAAATTAAAGATCTGTCGTACGGATATGATTTATCTGTGTACCGAGAAGAGGTGGTTCGTGTTTGACAAGAATATTTCAAGTAAATTCGAATGGGATGCTAAATTGCAAAAGATAGAGAGGCTTCATTCGCTCTAGACAAAGATAAAGGTGAATTTGCTTGAATTGCCAAGGCACTCAAATGGGCTGTGGGGAATCACGATACTTTAAAGATAACATGAAGCTCACTTCTTTGCACCGAATTTTAACAAAACAGCCAAATGAGCACAGTTGCGTACACTGTTACAAAACTAGTACTAGCTATGTTTTATTACTGTTCAAGTACTGAAAAGCAATATCGAACACATCGCAAGTCTTGGTGCACGTGTGTTTGTAAAACATGCCCGAAGTCACAAAATTTCTTTACGCGCTTAATTTATCTTAACCAGTAAAAAAAAGAGACAAATCAAACAGCAAAGGGAAGCGATCGAGGCGCAAAAAAAGGATTGTGACTGAATCACGCTATCTAAAACGTTTCTTCCTTCCCTAAACTCTCAGTTCGACCATCGCTTAAATAAACCTGGACGTAACGTACAAGATAAGATATTCAAACTGCAAAATAAAACCTAACATATGAAACAAACTAAGCACACAAAATAAGATTGATTAAAATAACCTGTGAGAGTGCAAAAACTAAACTAAGCAAAAAACAAAAAAGCACGAGCAAATGCAGTTATATTCTCCTGGAGCCCACAGTATGTAATTTTATGTGCACAGTGCGTTTGCTGAACCGTAGGTGAATAACAGTCTCACAACGGAAACATTTAAGCCAATACATATTTCATAAAATTTCAAATGAGTTCGGCATCGCGTTAAAGTGCATATGATCCAGTAGTACTACGTGATCAAAGAAACCATCATCACTTAATTTCAGCAGTTTATAATGGTGTCTGGAATCAATAATAACTGGCTTTCGTAGTTTGTTGATGTCCTCTTTTAAGAACATTTCCCCAGCGAACTTTATGAATCTTTGCTGGGCTTTTATATGCTGCGTTGTTGAAACTGCGGTTACGAATTTGAATTATAATGGTGTATTTTCAGTCAGGAATCAACAGAAAGGATGATCCATTTAATTTTGCTAAATGCGCAAACAAAGCCGGTAGCACAGTACTAATAGTGACAATTCCTTATCGATGCGAACATGATGTGCTACCGATGAAGACAAAGTGCATCAGTTTTGTCGGAAGAAAGTCGCTGTCAGTTACGATCTGGAATGGGTGTTTGAAATGAAATTTGAAAAATTTTGTGTCAGGTGATTTAGCGGATCGGGTTCGGGTTAGCGATGCAGAGGAGGCAACATTATCAAATTTATTATTAGATAACAAATGATTTCGCCTTGAGAAATCTTCTATAGGCGATATAGGTAATATTTCCCTACACTTTATATCAATTCCATTCATGATACGAAAATAAGGGTATTTTTTTTTTATAGGAATACATTATTGGAATAAATTTGAGAAACTTTCTACTCACAGTTTCTAGGACGAAATTGCCTTGTAACGATCACTTTCTTGTGGCTGTTTGATGGATGGGCTGACTTGCTTTAAATCTTGATAGAAAGCTGGGTTTTGAGCGGAATACCTTTTTTAATTATCTTATCCATTCGTCTATTTAAATTTGCTATTGAATTTGTATTTATTTCTCACTTTTCAGTCAAGTTCATTTCCATACGTGGGTCTGTGAACAATAGGGTCTTAGCGCCACCTTTCACATTTGACGGGATTTCGGTAAATTAATTACGATATTGGATACGAAAGTTTGGTTTATGGAGTCTCTTTTTGTGAAAAGGAAAAAAACTGGGAACTGCTATATTTATATTCAATTACGGAAGGTTTCCCAGTGACTTCTTTGTTTTGCAGTCTGGTTATGGTGGCACCGAGAATGAAGATCAGCACTGATTAGTGTGAAAAGTGAGCGGTTAATTTCGCGATAAAAGCAGCTGCTACAGCGTTATATGATTGATGGGTGATTACAGAGGCCCTTTACAAGAAGAAGCGCTTGCTTCTTTCCTTTAATTTGTGTAATAAAGATAGGCAGTTTGTAGTGAGGGTGCGGTGAAAGAAGCAGTTGGCAAGAGTTTCCAAAGCTGTTTGCAGTTTTGCAAATATTTATAAGACTCTTTCTTGGTAAAATGAACGCTCGAGGCAAAATACTTTATTCACTTTTGACTTCTATTGAAAAACTGGTGTGCGTTTTATTTTTGCATTTATCTCGTTGCAATTAAAAAAAGAAAATTATTGCGGACCAATCACAACGCGTTGTATTTATTGGGTTTGCTGTGAACAGCGATACGGTGGCAGATCGCTTTATCCCTTGGATCTTTTTAGACTCATGAATTAAGATTTGAATACATGAATTTTGCGGGCTTTAAGGTGAAAAGTAACATTTTGGGACACGATAACGCTAAAGATTTTTTGTCATTTTTATTGACTCAGAGTGATATTAGCTACGGCAGAATGGACTCTTATCATGCTGTTATCTCTCGGGAAAGTACTCGACTGACAAATCTGCATATTCATTTGAGGGTGAAATGTGTTGTAGAATCAAGAACTACAGGTCTGGAAACATGTTACGGTCGATAGGTTGGCCAAAGCGATGAGCTGTTTCATAACAAAATAACAACAATTAGGCTAGTAATACACCAAGTTTTTAAGTTCTACCACTCTAAGTGGAGAACAGGAAATTATCGGACCTTTGAATAAGCTCGCGAATAATAAGAACTATCCTCCGCAAATTCATAAACGACCTTGGAAATATTTACAAGAGTATGCTTTTTCGTGCAATAAGTGGACGGGGACTTCTTTCAGCCATGAGTTATTCATTTTGTATTCGTTTACTTTAATGAGGGAGAGGGTTTGAAATTAGCACCGTTTATAAGGCTGTCACTTTCCTTAGTACCTTGAGCTAAAAAACCTTGCAAGGTTGTGATGTTCAGCTATAATTTCTCAAGGTTTTCCTGTTCTTTCCTGAATTGTCTCGAATTGTATCATAGTTATAGGAACTCGTGAATTATCTTTTAAAAGTGCTTTTCCTTGTATCATAGCGGCTTTTTGTAACATATCAAAAACTTATCTTTTCCTTGAAATCTTTGAGGTATCCTGTGAACGCAAGGTTCTTTCTTTCTTTAGTCTTCTTTCCCGTGAGTGAACTTTACTGCGGCTTTTTTGTTCTTTTTTCGGCGTAACGCATGGTTATTGCACCGTTCACTAATCAATCTATGAGTCAATTTGAGCATATTGCGTCACAGAATAACCATTACTCGTTGAGCAATGGTGCTTGTAAAACCTCATTAACTTCCAAATGTGCAGCTCTTGATAAATGGCTTCAATCCAGAATGTACAAGGCTTTTGGTGAAGTTTTCAGCAAATGGGATTAATTATGAGTAGAATAGTTCGGATCACAATTGGCTATATTTCAAGAGTCGTAAATTGTGATCTAGCTTTAAAGCAAGTTAAGTCCTATAACCATAATAAGTTTACCGGAAAGGGCGCGTAAGTCGCCGGAAGGGGCGTGTTAATCATGCTAGTCTTAAGTTCCGCAATAGGAAGCATCTAATGACCTTTTAAAAGCCACGTAGGACTAGTATTTTTTCATGAATCCTAAACTTCCCTTTGTTCCCAGAAAAAAAAAAGTTTGTGTGTCTGTACGTGTGGAATGTTATTTTTATATCTCAACATCGATACCTGTTCTCCCCGTTGTTTTGATTCTAAATTAGTGCCGCGTGGGCAATTCTGAACTCGTTTACCATAGCATTAATGATTTGGGACTTAAGCCAACGCAAAATTAAGCACATCTTCTTAAAATTTTAAATTAATTAGCAGTTTCTCAGTCTAT